GTCATGATTAATTTGTAAGGGAAAAGTAATAAAAAGGAACTAGATGGAGCTTAGCAAAAGAGACGAAGAAGAGCTATGCCAAAGTATATCTGGAGGCCTTATCATTTATGTTTCTTTATGAGGAAATCATGCAGTTTTTAGTTTTCCCCTGCCCGATAATTCATATTTGCTGAGTGTTTCCATCACATAAGGAACATCTACACTGGTTTCTTTTTAATTAATATAAGTTTGAGGAAGGGATCTGCAATATTAAGAACTAGTGTAGGCAAATATTTTTCCTTTTTGAAACTCCCATATGATGGCATATACAGGAGACTTGTAACTAGTAGGAAATGGTCCCTTTCCCTCCCATGGTTCAAGGAATCTTTTTGAGTCTTGTTTGATTCTTGTTTGTGATGACTCCTGTTCATTTTTACCATCTCATCCGTGAATGCAAATATTGAAATGTTTGCTCTCAATTACTGACACAATTTGCTCATGCATCTTTATTATGATTAGACACCTTATTTCTTTGTTGCTGACATTACCGAGAGAACAAATGTCAAACCAGTAAGCATCATATGAACTTCCCCTTGGTGACTCATTTCAAAAAACTCATAGGGATGTTGTCCGGTCATGCTATCGGTTTACATGAAAGAAGTGAATCTGATGAGCTTTTATTGGAAGATCCTGTGTCTGAGGTTGGTGATGAGGAAGAGCTTTCTGGAAAGGTGTTGTTTGCAGCCTCATTTGAGGAGCTTGCTAAAAACCATGTGCAGTATGATACAATTATATGGGTTCTAATTTCACTGTTGCTTGTTTTGGCCTGGGGAGTTGGTATTATCATGCTCCTATATCTGCCAGTTAGAAGATATGTGCTTCAGAAAGATATTTCTTCACGCAGACTTTACGTCACATCCGACATGATAGTTTACAAGGTACTAAAAATGTTTCTAACCACTTCTTCATATTCATTTTGTTCTGAATCCATGACATAACATTCAACGATTTTCAGGCTACTAGGCCATCTTTTTTACCATTTTTAGGCTTGACTAAAATCGAGAAGCGCATCCCCCTTCATCTAGTTATTGACATCATAATTGAGCAAGGTACATCTTTTGACCAGGTCAATTATCTTATTGTCCAGTTTCTTCATGGAGTATGTTGTTTGTTGATGTTTGTGTCATATTTATGTTTAAGTTTGCTTTCAAGGAAGCTTCGCACATTTGTCCATAATCAATGTGCTACAAATTATATGCATGAAATATATGAAAGGATTTCAGACTTTACAAGCATGTCATTAGGCCATTCTAAATTTGAATCAGCATATGATAACACAATTCAGAGCTTTGTGAGAGCTTAACGTCTCTAACAACAGGAGGTGTTAAATTTCAACCGATGACTTCTCTTCTCATCTAATTGTGGCTAATATAATATGTTTATCTTATCCTTCCAGAGGATATTTCTATGAATTGACTTAATCTAGGTCTATACCTATATTATTGATTATGGTTGTTTGTTTCCTACTCACTCAAATTTTGTGTAGCCCCACTTGACCTGTCAATTATCTTAGGAATTAGGATTGTCATCATTCTTGCAATCTAATACTTAATGCAGCTCGAACTCTGTTTCTATTTTGAATTTTGTGATTTTAATCTGTGACATCTCATAAATCATGAACGAGATCTTCCATATTCTAGTTGATTGTTGCGATCAGGTTCTTTTGTGGTTTGCCTTTCTTCTCATTATTCCTTTCATATTTTTTCTTCAAATTTTTAATGCCTTGGCTGTTGGATCTGCTTTCCATGATCCGTGTTTATTTTTTAGTTATTGTTGTTACGTCATAACCTATTAATGAAAATTGATGCATCACTGAGCTTTCTGATTGCCATCAAAGTCAGTTCACCTTGCATTTTGAAGTAGCATGCATGAACTTTTAACTGGAATGCCATGAGAAAGTTGTCCAAACAACTTCTAACGAATGTGGCATGGATCCAATATGCAGAATTCTGAAATGAACTTGTAATTTCTGAGAGGGAACAATTTGGCATGCTGAGTTTTGTAATTCTTTCTAAATTGTGATTCTATAAAAGATCTCTGAGTTCCCATTTTATTTTTCTGTGATGTTTTCATTTTTTAAATGAATATGAAGTTTCTCCTAAAGCTTTTAACCTCTTAAGTCTTAATACAGCTGTTAAGATGATATTTCACATTTTGGCTATTTAATTTATCATCCAGTTATCAGGCCATGAAAAATTTGAGGATGTTTCTTGTCTTTCTTATTTATCATCCTTCATGTTCTTCTGTGTTGAATTTCATCAATTGTCAATTTTTTAGACCTCAGTATGCATCTAAAATTATGTGATAGCTTCTGAAAGTCATTAGCTGATGGTTTCTTTTTGTAATGCTTATAGGCTGTTTGCAATCTAATTACGGAATACATACTTTTAGGATTGAAAGTGTAGCTTATGGAAAAGCTGCACCAGTGGATGAACTACAGTTCCAAGGTGTCTCCAACCCAGGACTCCTAAGAAAGGTATTTGTTAGACTAAACAGCTTCACCAACATTTCCTGATAATGGGTAATTGGCCATGTCTAGGATGTTTGTTAATCTAACAAGAAATATCCATAATCTGACTCCAATTATTTTATGAGTACGATTGGAGAATAATATAATTGTTAGATGGGAAAGTAATGGATTTATTACATGATTAAATTACGACAAGGAGTATATCAAACATAGATATATATGGGCGTATACGGATAACATGTTTTGAAGTGGCAAAAATAGACCATTTTGATGACATTGAGGATCATATGGATGCCTGTTTTATTAGTTGTGAACCACAATTATCATATACTTATAAAATGTGATTAGATTACAACTTTAAATAATTTCTGTTGTGAATTTATTTTCACCATGGAACTTACCATTTGGTATCGCCAGGAGGGCATCATATGGATAGCATATTGCAATCTCATGGTCAACTCAGTGTGGTGCTTTTTTATATACATCGGCATGGTGTTGATTGCTTCTTGCAGAACACCCATTTTTTTTCGAGTCAAAAGTCTGATACACCTAGTGCTCAGTTCATCTGAGCTCAAAATAGCCATAAGCTGACAAGGTAATGGAAAGATCCATAAAAAGTCCTTACAAAATTTAGAATGAGAAGCCAGTCAATGAGCACAATAATTAGCCTCTCTAAAAACATGATTCACTGAAAATGTGTCCGTTCAAAAAAAAAAATTATTAACTAAGTTAGTCAAAAACCAAGTGGGCTGCTCTTTCATTTTCAGGATTTTAGCTATGCAATTCAGCATCTGTTTCAATCTGTATTCTTTGTGTTCTCTCAGCTATTGCAACCTTAACACGATCCTTGATTGCCAGTAGTTCATTCAAATATGGTCCTCCTTCAGCAATAAATTTGTCCCCAGCAAGTAGGCAATCACCTTCACTATTTCTCAATAAGAAACCAGCTCCTCCAACCTGTCCAGACACATCAAATGCTCCATCAGTGTTCAATTTTATCCAGCCCAGAGTTCTGTTTCATTTCATTAGGATTGAGTTCTATCATTTAAATTTCCTTTAGGTATTTGGGGATGTTTTTATCCGCCACCCATGCAATAGTCCTATAAATAATGGAGTTGGGGTTGCATTTCACCTCTAGATACAACTATCATTCCTAGCCTTCCATAACAACCATAGACTATAAGCAATGAGGGTTCTAAGGATCAGTCCACATGTTTGGACATATCATTTCCCTCATTAAGCCATAAACCAGAATTCCACTCATTAAAAAATTTAAAACTAATAGTTTCTGTTTATAGAAAGGCCATATCTTGCAGAACACCTTTACCTGCATGTTTTTGCGTTAAATTTCAGTGATAGAATTGATGTGTTGTTCAGAGCATTTATGAGCCTGGCAGTTTCTTTGTGTTTGTGAAAGTTTAGTCTTCACCATGCAGACCATTATTGGCCATGTTGGATCCTGCATTTTTGAGGGAACTTTTAAGACCGAGTTGCAGGAGTTATCCTAAAAATATTGTGTGGGCTGAGATCTGGTCCCAGAGAGCAAGGTTTTTAAAGGATTGATTGGTGCTCTGATTGCTCATGATGGTTGTCAAACATTCATCATTTTTTGACATTGCCTTCTTATATTGTTCACAGTGGTGTTATGCAAGTGATAATGCATAATAACTGGTCCAAAGACCACACATCATAGATGGAAATTTGAAGATAACTGATTTGTAATTCATTGGAATGTGAGTGTTTCAATTATTAGGCAGCATTATTTGTTGAGCCATGGTTTTCTAGATAGCCAACCTAAGTAATTGCATGTTGTGACAGCTCGCAGAGAGCAGCTACCTTTGATTATATGTGTTGCATAGAAAACTTTGATGTTTTAAATATACGGTACGGGAAAAAAATCCTATTTTCAGGTTTTACATGCTTCTTGATTGCTCTCACTGCATCTCTTGTGTTGCTATTATATTATTGGGAGGGAGGTACTTTGCTAGACCAAGTTATGGCAGTCTGATAGTAATATAAAGTGTTATCATTCTTTTTTGTTGAGGAGTCATAGCTGAACAGATTTCACCCAAGGATGTAAAATTGTGCTCTCTCATGCATGTGGTTCATGATGTTTCTGTAGATGCTACTTTTGCTGGCTTATGGAAGTGACCTAGGATAGAAGTATATTGAGGTTGGTCTAAGCAAATAAGACTTGTTTTGTTCTGAAACTTAGTTTAACATCAACAGCTAGACAACTATATATGACGCTTCTAGTCTATCCAGGTATAAACCGTTTGTTCAGTTCACAATATATTTGCAAATGCATCTTTGTAGTGCATTTCTGGATTAAGTTTTCTGGAACAGTGATTGACTATAGATTTTTCCAGTTCATTTAGTAGTTACACTCTTTGGGCCTTTTGCAATGTTCTAACTTCTGAGTCTCATGACTATAGATTTTGCCAGTTCATTAATAGTAATATGATGCATTCTTGGATATTCTTATGGGCTCAGCTTTTCCAATATATAATTGCAATTGTGTAGGTTATTATTATAGAATCTACAAAGAGTATTCGAAAAGTTGGTAATAGGAAGTCTGCCATACTGCCTGGGGAAGGAATGTCCACACCGACTAGTTTGAGATCATTGGCCGATATTCCACCTCCAAGTAGATGGCAATCTCCCAGCATGAGGGTTAGTTTTCAGATTATAGCTCGTCACCACCTTTAGTAATTCAAATTGTTTTCTGTCATGCTTCTTCAACTGTGCTTTTGGTTCTTTCTCCTTATATACCTTTTTTTTAACTGAATATAGTGTGACATTGAAGGTTGACCTTGGTGTCACTATCATGTTTTTCTCCATGTGTCTAATCAATTTTAGATGTTCTTTTATAAAAGATGGTCTAATGCCCAAGTGGATTATTAGCTGCCTCTGTACTAAAGCTTATAAGAGCAAACAATTTGATGTAGAGCATGACTAACCTTTTGGAGCATAAATAACTATAATAGTTATTTTTCTTTCAATTTTCATTCAATATTAGATAGGGGGTTATCAGGATGGAGATGCCTAGTGTTCAAGTCTCAACCTGATAATTTATTTGTTTTAAGTTGAGGATCCATACCCAAAATTGCATGTCCAATTTGGATTTTGGGATCCATTGCCACCTTGGTCATGATATTATTTCTTTATCATAGTTAAAGATCTGGCTTTGTCCTATAATGTTGGAATTTCCTGTCTGGTTATTATTACATTGGCACTGTTAGGAGTGAACATTTTGTGCTTTTTATGCAATGCAAAGTTAAATTTTTTTTTAATTTAGATCAGATAGAACAGGTATACAAGTAATGTGGATTAGATATCTTGTGATAACGGAAATCAAGATATGATGTTTGACATTCAAGTTAATTGCACATTCTCTTGAGAAAAATCATATGTCCAGTGTTGCATGATTGTTGCGAGTCAATTCATGACCAAACGAAATTTTGGCCCCTTTGATTTCATGACTAGAGGATCCTTCACCTGTTAGTACCAACCACACCCTTTTTTTATCTTCTAATGGCAAAGTCTGGTGGTATACTGGTAGTACATATGATTTCCACAATCCATTCCCATGCATGAAGTAATATATGTTTATTTCATTATAGAATACCGAAAATACTATGGAATTAAAAAATTCACAGGTCAAGGCTTCACCAAGACGCCCTCTTTTCGAGGCCGGAGGCGTAGTGCCTGGTGACTTGTTGCTACATAAAATTGAAGAAGTCAAGCGATCTGTGAAAGTAAGAACCTTTTTTTTCAGCTTAGTTTGTTTTTTACCCTTTCTTTAGATCGCAACATATTTAATTACATTATTTGATACCCGAACCTTTGATGCTTATATTACCTTTTCTTATTATGTACAAGCAGAAACTGGAATCTGTTATTGCGGGATCACATTCACAGGCATCACAAGATGACTGCTAATCATCGAGATCAAGAAGTTTCTTTGCGTAAAATGTTTGCCGAATGCTATTTGGGTTCCTATAATTGTTGTAGTGCTTAAAATAAGATTTGACATAAATGTTGAACTAATAATTACCGTTTGCTGTTCGTTGTACGATGCACACTTGGCCATTGTATTCAGTATCTCCTCGCATGCTTTGATGCTGTCAAATTGGTAGCTTACTGCAATCCTCGACCCCATGTCGAAGTCTAGAAAAGTAGTACCAAAATACGTTAATGGTCTCCTTTTCACTGTAGGTCCACTCGATGCCTACTTCCTTTCGGGCGTTTACTCCCTCTTAGGCACCACTCTCATGTCAAGCACCAGATTGCAGTGCTTGTGATGCAGTCATGGGTAAAAAAAGGAAGAACAGCAGCAACATTGTGCTGCTTGGAGGATGAAATGAATTAGAGGAGGAAGCATCCAAAAGTAGTAGGTACAAGACAGACTAATAACGATTTCAACGATGGCCAGCGGAGAGTTGATATCGAGGAAGAACATCCCACCGCTTGCAAAGTCGATCCGAAGTAGCAGCAAATATGCATGTCTTCCAACCACGTGAGAGAAGGAAACCCATAACACGAACAGCCGACACTGATGGTGATCATATTCTATATCTTCAACGACGAATGAGGGCGGAGTTGACGCCGGAGCTCACTTTTTTTGTGTGCATTCTTGAGAAGCACGCTTGTACCACTTTCCCTCGATTCCATCTGCTCTCTCTATCCTAATAGTCCAAAAGGCTAACACTGCTTTTCTGCGGCCACATCCCCAATACTCGGATGCGCATGTCCCCGACAAGAGAGCAATCCGAACTCCAGACGATGAGCGACAACGAGAGAGCTGCGACCAAGTCTTTGTCAACTTGTTGGATTTCTTATTGTTTGTTCGATGGGCAAATCGTTGTTCGCTTTAAATATCATACATGGATCGCCTGTTTGCATGACACAGGCCAGAGGTCCTCGATCCAAGACGAGCATAGCTATGGGGTGCAGGAAATGTGAGAAGCCAAGGACGACGTATAGGAAGGAAGGGCTTGTGGTCGCCAGAAGAGGATGAAAAGCTGAAGAGCCACATGGATAGGCATGGCCATGGCAGCTGGAGCTCGCTTCCCGCCAAAGCTGGCGAGTCTCTGCGATTCCGTGGTAAAGGAAGAAGAAGAGGAAGTGCTCAAGTTTGATTCCTAACTTGAGCTTTTCATCATGTTACACAAACTTGCACTACTTTTGAGTGACGGATGGGAATTCTGGAGAATCAAATTGCATTTGCAGATTCATCTCTCGAGTTTGTATGTGCTACTCTCAGGCTTGCGACGAAATGGAAAGAGCTGCAGACTAAAAGAGGTGGCTCGATTACCCGAGGCCAGGGCTGAAGCATGGTACCTTTTCTCCTCCGGAGGTGGATACCGTGGCGAAACTTCATTCTGTAAGCATTCTCATCACATTTAAATTTGCGCGAATAATTAGCGTAGATTTGGAATTGTGATATTTCTGATCTCCAACCGAGATCTTCTGAATGATTTCGTTGGATGAAGAATCCATTTGCCTATTTATTGTCTATCATCTCCAACATAAAAGATCACCTCTGCTTGGGTCTAAGAACTGCATCCTCCCTGGTTCTTAAAAGAGGATTCTTCTGGTCATGCATCAAAACCATTCAAGTCACTCAGCAACACAATGTCATACGACAAAAACAGAAATAGATCCTGAGTTTGTGAGTATTATTAAGCTCCAACCACCACTTCGTTTAGGAATATGGTGGCGATGGGGTTATGAAATCAAGCATGTGTGAATGCATTCCAGTGGAGAGCCTAACAATTCATTCATTCATTCATTCGATCCGTGTAACTTCCTTGTTGTACTATTATACATTACATATAAACGAATGCCCTGAGACACACACAATCAACATGGATCCATGATCCTTGGAAAATTCAGTGAATAAACGAAACACGAAACGTAACATTCATCGATGTGGTTTGCAAAATTTAGCGTCATCCATAAAAAGCTAATTCTTGGGGTTTGGGTTTGGGTTTGGGGTCCAGAGTGGAGGAAAAGCCACAGGAACTCGGTTACATAGCTCTCGCCTTCACAATATCGATGCTCATCTCGCTAGGGTCCGTCGCCTGCAGCTCCACTTGTATGCCATCGAGCTCCCTCTTGAATCTGTCCTTGGAACTCGCATACAGCATCTTGCTCCTCACCTTTGATGAATCAGGGGACCTGCACAACAACAAACTGGTCCATGTCGTCATCAACCTTATGATGAGGTGCAGCTTAAAGCTCAGCAACCTTCTTCTTATGATCATCTTTGGGAAGACCAGACAACTGCCTATTTCTCGGAGCTGATCTTGATAGCAGCAATTAATTAGTTGGATGAAGGTAGAAGAAGAATCATATTTCTCTATTGATGAGGTGACACGATTATTATCTATCAAACTGATCATCCACATTATTGCCTCATGATTCATAGTTTTCACATTTTCTGCGTCTACCTCTCATCTAAGATCATCACTCTGATAGATACTGAGCCATATTACGAATCATGCACATCTAACTGAAACTGTTCACTGAACCTTCATATGATGAATTATTGTTCTCATTATGAATATTACATCTATCTATCTATCTATCTATCTATCTATCTAAAGAAAAGAGAAGATCTTGTTTCTTGTATCATAAGAGCAAAGCAATTCTCTCGATCTAACATTTTGATCACTAAGATAACTCATGCAAACAATATTCATGTCAGTCGAAAACAGAAACTGTTCAAAGAAAATGATCGATCATGACTCACGGAGGATGATTAGTTTTCTTCTTTTGAAAAAAATTATAATTTCATGAGCTTTTCGATGTTCTACAAGAAATGTTGTGGAACCAATTCCTCCTTCTGGAGGAGTGATGATCGTGTCGCTTTCGGGAATTCACACGGTGCAGTTCCTTACCATGCAATGAAGAAGATCTTGCTCTTTTGGCAGTTCTCATCGGTGACGAAATCAAAATCGAAGACGGCATAGCGGCACTCGTTGGGCGGAAAGCATGCAGTGAAATCATCGTAGCTCTCATCGGGCCGACCCAGCTTCTCCACCATGACCTGCTGTATCTTCTCATCGATCTTGAACACGATGAACCGGAAGTTCCTCTTGGCCTTCAGCTCCAGGAACTTGAGCTTGCACTCATCATTCACCGCCATTCCGGATGCGGAGTTCGCCTGTGCAAACTCACGACACGAATCATCAATTATTTATCAGCAACAATCGATGATAATGCTAATTATTCACAACAACAACAACAACAACAAATCTGATTTGTTCATATCAGAAAAAAGAAGAATTGAGTTGATTTGCGTATGGATGGCTATGAGCATCCTAGTTCATCATCATTGGTTCCATGCGGAGCCTAAAACATGATGCTAGGTAGGTAGGTAGGTAGGTGATCAAGGGCATCGAAACATAGAGAAGGGAGATGCATGCTCACCATGCTTTCTCTGCAACGAGGGATGAGCAAGCCCAAGGAGGATGAAAACCGGCAAGGAAAGAGGAGGAAGAAGAAACAGGGGAGGGGGGAGGATGCAGTGATCCTTGGGATGACTACTTAAATGGCACATGTGAGGGGGAGAAAAATGTGGGAAGGAGAGGATTTGATGGAGGGGAATGAAGGTGGGGGTTGCAGCTCGAGGGAACTCCACGGAGCTCTCCTCTCCTTCGGTGCCGCATCCACGGCAAGAGGCTGCTTCATTTTGCTGTTCCATTTTTGACTCGGTCATCTGCTAATTTTATCCCGCAATCAAACGGTTATTGATTTCGTACTACTTTGTCATTTTATATCATCGGTTTTCATACACTAAAAAGATTACCATAAAATCTTTAAAATGATATAATAAAACATATGACATGATGTTTCATAATTATTGAATGCAAGAAGGTAAGGCAAAATTACCTGATGATCAATCAAAGCACGGATCAAAATTTTCCCATGCAAACTAATCCTAAGAGTTATTACGAGTATTTTATATTTTTATGGACTTATTTAATTAATTAATTAATTTTACTTTTGGTTACAAGTTATTGATCATAGACTAAAGATAAACTTAAAATATTGAAAATGATGATGTTTCATAATTATTTAATGTAAGAAAGGTAAGACAAAATTACTCGATGACCAAGAAAGAATCCAAATTTTCCTATAAAAACTAATCCTAATAATTATTATGAGTATCTTATATTTTATGGACTTATTTAATATATAAATTGTAATCACTAGTGATTTTTTTCTCTCTTAACATAAATTAAATTATCATAAATAATTTATTATTTTATTTAAATTATTAACTTTCTTGTTTATATATCATGATTAAGAAAATAATTAAAATTGATTTCTTTAATCACGTGCACAAGTTAAAAATTTCATCGATCAACTAAATTATTGATTAATTTATTTCCTAATGAGTGACATGATTTTTAGAACGTAAATAATTTAAATTTTATTTTTATGAGTAAAAATAAATTAAAAAAATAAAAAATTAAATTATTACTTACATATATAATAAAACTATATAAAAGGGGCTCTTTTTTCCTCATTTGTCGCTAAGCCTGGTTGAGCGAAGGATTTCCTAAAGTGAGGTATGATCCTCTTTTTTTTTTTTTTTGTTACTAGTTTTTATTGATATTTTAAAATCTTTTATATTAGAATTTTTATAATTTACATGGTGCATGATAACATTTTAATTTTAAAATTTTATGATTAATAAATCATGATCATTGAATTATGATGTTATAATGATTAGTTAATTTAATAATAATTTTAATTTATTTTAATTAAACATATTTATATTTAAAAATTATGTACTAATTTTTATGATTTAATTAGTTTTAAATTTAGAAACATAAATCTAAATTAGTTAATTTATGAAAAAGGATAGATTCGAGATTAATTATTATTTTATAATATTTTAAAGTACTTCTAAAAATATTAAAATATAATCTAATAAGGGGATCAAATTGGGGTCTAATCTAAGTTAAATTGATTGGTCAAATCAACTCATGTGACTAGGTTCAATCTAACTTATGTGGCCAAACATGACTTAGCCTATGGTCATGTATAATTATGCTAATGTGATTAAGCATGATCTATCTCATGTGCCCAAGAATGATCCAACATTTGTAGTTAAGTATGACTCAACTCATATAGCCAAACATAATCTAACATATATAGTCAGATATAATGTAACATATATGGCCAAGAATGGTTTAGCCTATGTGACTAAGCACAACCCAACCCATGTGATCCAACATGGCCCAACCAATGTGGTTAGGTTTTAATTGAATTAAGTTTAGTTGAAGTCAATTAACCTATTTCAATTAGGGTCTTGGTTAATCATGGACTATTAAAAAATTGATGCCTCATATATTTATGATTTAATGAACTTAAAAATTTTATCTGAATGTGTCTTTTGAAAATAATTATTATTTTTATTAAATTGATAATATTGATGTGATTGTTATCATATAATATATGTGATCAAGTTGAATAGTTAACATTGGAAGTGCAATATATGAAAGGAGTTATGGGTCTATCCCGAATCACTAATAAATATAATATAACAAGTCATATATCAAACATATTCCCTCGTAATGAATTATTATAGTTGACTATATATCTCTTTTGAAGTCAAGTAGGACAATTTTCTTCGGGAATCAATAGTTGTTAGACATAATGGTTAAATGGTTCCTCTATATTTTATTGGGAGTACGATATAAGTTTTTGCTATTGATGTTCGAAGGAATCTTGATCGAAATAGTTTATATTTTAATTGATTCGGTTTTGGGTGTAATCATGCCAACTTAATTAAGGGCTCATTAAGCCTGAATCAGAGCTGAATTGAGTCTATTAGAAGGCCAGTTCAGTAACCTGAAGTTTGGTCAAACGATGACACCGCTAGATCAAGAGGTGGAACCGCTTGTGAGCTAGAAAGTATGGAGTTTATGTTTCTTAAAAACCCGACGTTGGTACCACTAGTGTCAGGCGGTGGTGACCACTAATGTCAAGCGGTGGAACCTGTAGTATTATCAGAATATAATCTTCTATGCTATCAAGAGATGACATCGTCCAAATAGACGATGGTACCACAGGTGCTCAATGTGGCAGATGGTGATACTACCCGGCACTGATGATAATACCGTCAGTATCCCGAAAACCTGAGTGGAACAAAACTCAAAGCACTCGAAATTAAGATTCACGTAGCAGCGATATAAGGGAAGAGATTTGAATCTCCAAGTAGATAGAGGTAGAAGTCCCTATGTTGGTGTTCTAGCTCAAAGGCTGTTGCGCAAAGTGAATGAGAGTTTCAGTTTACTTCTTCCCTAAAGGTTGTTGACTTATTCCTTTGCTTATTGAATTAAAGAGAGCTATACATATATAGAATAGCGTAAACAAACAGTTTTGCATCCTTTAAGAGACTCCCTCTGTATTAAGAATTGAGTGCGTTCCACTTACAGAATCAAGTAACAACACCTCACTGCGAAACTCTAAAGAATAGAAAATAGTGCAAGCGGTGAACTCTCCACTCAATCTATACTTTCCCTAACTAACACGCCTCCCTTAACTCTTACTTTAAGGAACAAACACCTAACTGCTCAGCTCACTCTTGCTTTAAGGAACAAATACACTGACGAACTCAACTCGTATAAACCGACCTTCTTACGAATACGGATCCTCCAGCAAATAGTGATCTTAGAAGAATGGAATTGTCAGAATGGAAAAAGAAATTGACAAGGAGTCTATCGTATAGAAAAAGAAAGTCATGTTACTATCCGTCCTTGTTGGTGGTGAGAGAGATAATCAACAATGCATGTAGAGGAGTTTTGAGTTGACAGTTCAGTTCAAAATTCCATTCAATTTTTAGCAGGCAATACAGTTGAGTGCGGTTCCGAAAGAGTGGAGTCCCAATCCTACCCAGTTCCAGTTATGGGTTAAGAAGTTATGTGAAGAAAGTCTACCAGAGCAGAGATAGGTTCGAGCAAGTTCAATTCATTGTCCTTTATTTGGCTGGCTTTGAAGCTCTCAATGATTACTGATATCTTGGGGTGCGAAAGGAAGCAACAAGCGAAGTGCTAACGTCCAATTTCCATCTTTGAGTTGACTCTGCTGAGACACTTGACTTTGCCTGTTTGACTCAGGCCATTATAATAGCGTTAGGGAGTTCTATACTTAGCAGCTGCCAATCAAGATGACAATCTTAAAGCAACAGTTGCCTCTATATTTCTTTCTTTTGCACTAAATTCTTAAAGCAATTAAGGGACATGCTTTTCATAGGATTGAGGGACAGAGGACAGTAGTTCGTTATCGAAACTTCGGTTTTGACGCTCTTCTATAAGCAATGGAACTATGCAACTTGAGATAGTAAGAAAAGAACACGAAAAATTTGTGATTCTAAATGTGTAAACTCTTTGATAGTGTTGAGTTCCTTTCTTCTTAAGTTTCTAAGTCATTCTAAGAGAGATGTGAGGATTACTTGTAAAAGAGAGTTGTAAAGATTCTCTTTTAAGCTTGTGAAAAGGAGAAAAGAATTGTAACAAGGATAGTTGATCTTCATCCGTTGAAAAGAAGATCATTAGTGAATACCGATGGCCTAAATGGAGGAGGAATCAGGAGTGGACGTAGGTCGCAACGATTAAACCACTATAAATTTGATGTGTAGTTCCTTTTATGCTATTCATTGCTATTGCTTACTGATTTAATTGCTTACTACACTTACTTATATTCTAAGTTAAACACATTTTCGATACTGGTTTCATCGAACAAATTTTCGAATCGTTTCTCCATTTTGAACCTCTCTCTCCCCCCTTTTAGTGTAACGATCCTAACATCACGTAACTCATGTGACAAATAATAATTTAACCCATATGACTAAGTATAACCCAACCCATGTGATCTAACATGGCCCAACTAATATGATTAGGTCTTAATTGAATTAAGTTTAGTTTAAGTCAATTAATCTATTCGAATTAGGGTCTGAGTTAATTAGGAACTATTGAAAAATTGCATCATGTATTTATGCTTTAATGAACTTCAAAATTTTATCTAAAATAATTATTTTTCTAATTAAATTAATGATATTGATGTGATTGTTATTACATGTGACTATGTTGAATAGTTAACATTGGAAATATATGAAAGGAGCTATGAGTTTATCATGGTATGGAGTCACTAATAAATATAGTCTAGCAAGTTATATATTCTCTTATAATGAATGATTATGATTGATTATATATCCACCTCAGTCAAGTAGGCTGATTCCCTTTAGGAATTAGTAGTCATATATAATGGTTAAATGATTTCTTCATCTTTTGTTAGGAGTACGATTTAGGTTTTTGCTATCGGTGTTGGAAGGAATCTATCTCGTAAAATATATCTCTCCATCCAATGTTGAAAGAGTGCACCATCAGATATGATATGTCTTTTTTATCATACTATCATATATGTCACTAAAATTGATTGCATATTATTGATGTATGATTTTATTTACTGTATAAGAATTATCATTATTTTTTTATTGCATGATTTTCATGATAAATTGATATATTATAATTTTATATTAAATTATTAATATTTATATATATTTTATGAATATTAAAATTATTTTTATATTTTTCAAAAGTTTTTAAGATAATATACTTTTATCTTATATTTAATTTCAGATTACCTTACTATTTTGTAATAGATCTAAGACATGGGTGAATGAACTTTTCTCATCACTCATGCTCTACTAAGATGCTTTTATTTTTTCAGTTAAAAAATATTTAGTATTGTAAACATAAAAATTTCAATTCAAAGATATTTTTTTAAAAATATGAATAATAAAATAATAATTTATTTTTTATAAATATAAGATGTGACATAAATTAATTTTACTGTTGGTTAGAAGTTATTAATCTGAATCTTTAAATGGATGTTAATAGTAATAATTTTTATATATGAAGGATTTTAATATTAGATGGGAGATCTGAATAAACCATTTCTAAACTTTTCAGTGATATATATATATATATATATATATATTTGTGTTACCCTCAAGGGAAGGCCACATTTGCAGTCAACGCTACTCATCCTAGAGAGAGCGAGAGAGAGAGAGAGAGAGAGAGAGGAGATGACGCTGAAGGTGTACGCCGATCGAATGTCGCAACCATCACGGGCGATTATAATCTTCTGCAAGTAATATTTCCTAACGCAATTTCTTTACATTTTCGCTTTAATCTTTTCGATTAGATGTTGGATTGGGAAGACAAATCTCTCGCTTTCTATGTTGGGATTAGATTCGTCTCCCTTGGGCTCTACGATTTATCGTGGGAAATTTTGGTTCTTGATTTCAGGGTCAACGGCATCGATTTCGAGGAGGTGAGGATTGATCTCGTGAAGCGTCAGCATCGCTCGCCCGAATTCAAAGGTCCCTTTTTGCGACTCCAATTCATAGTTATGCCCATCATATCTGAATCACAGACAAATCAATATTGAATAGTAATACTATGGAGTGAGATTTTACGAAATAGCATCTTCGCAATCTAGCTGTAAATTAGTGCTATGAAAAAGTATGGGTTTGTTGAATAGTAGTAGTGATTGCAAGATATCTGTGTTATATGATAGTAGAATCTTGAAAAGCAATAAATAAAATAATTTTAAGAGATCGCTAATAATGATGCTTTGTTGATTTTTTTAGTATCCTATAAAGAGGATAACAGAATGTATAATCAACTAAAGATTTTTTATCTAGGGTTTAGGCAATACTATGTATGTTCCGGATCAGTAGGAGGAAGAAAGTGGATTGAGCAAGGTTGATTATGGTTATCTTTTATAGCAAAAGTATGCCAAACGAAGAATTGAGAACAATGGAGATTATGGTTTTGTTAGATAACAATTCTTAGAATAGCTACCATCATCAGTGGGGACACCAGACAGACACTTATTTGTCCATGAAACTCCTTATGTTTTATTTGACAGAAATAACTACTTTATCTCAATGTTTGAACATGAGAAATCATAATGTGAATATCTTGTTTCTGCCGTTCTGCTTAATCTAAATGTGCAAGCTTGTCTCATCTTTTCTGATTTACGAACTAAGCATACCTTTTTCAGTATACTCCACCTCTTTCTTTTCTGGATGTACTGACTCAGATGCTTTACTCAGAAATAAACCCAATGGGACAAGTTCCAGCTGTTGTTGATGGAAGATATAAGCTCTTTGAGAGGTAGATGTTGATTATTTAAGTTTTTGCTTAAATATATTATCTTTTAATGCTTCTCCTGTCCTTGATTACATGTGATTCCTTTCATGGTGGTAACTGAGTCTTCATTTAGGGCAGTGTCACATATCTTTGAATAATTTGTCCTTATAGTAGACTGCCCATTATACTGCTTTTATTAGGTTTTGTTTCATTGATACAATCAGCTCTTTTTGTTCAACTCACAGGCAATGGTTGCCATGTCATGCTGAGAACAACATGTTTCAAAATCATGTTAAGTTGAAAATTTTCATTCTTTTCTGTTTTTCTTTCCCTTTGCACTTATATGAGCATTTGATGTTGCTTTCATTTCTGGGGAACCAACCATGTGGCTGGTCTATAAATAGGTACTAAAGAGAAAATGAAAAGTATCCTAAACTGAAACAAAATATGTTAGGATTAGGTCTATATGGACTCAAATCAGAGACCTTCTCGAAAAAATAGATTAAACTGATTATTATCAAATAATACAAGCTGTTCCAAAGACCCAACATGAGTTTTGTTGCATTGGGTTCTTTCGTCAACTGTCTTAATGATCAGTAAGTCTACCATCATTTATCTTTTAAGGAAAAATAATGAGATGACTCTATGTTCATTAATTGTATTCTAATCCAGGAGCAATACCAAAATGCTTCAATGAAGGGTTACTTTTTTGATACCTTTAACTGGTTGAATTAATCAACCAAATGCTCCTATCCCTTGACTTATGAACAAAACTTGAATCCCATCGGATCCCATCATTCTACATTAGTTTGTTGTTGCAGCATCTTTCTGGTAAGTTGTCATACATCAAAGTGGCATCAGATTTCTTTTCTGGTACCTTGTAATTTATCGCACATCCTGAACTTGATTCATTACATTTTGAATGGCCCTTATGTAGACATGATGGTTTCCTATTAAGATATTAAATTTTATAGGCACTTGAAACTCTAGAATAACCCTGGTGTTCTTGAACAAATAAATGCTACAGTAGATATAAGTTTCAGGCCAACTTGAATAGACTCTAAATTCTCAAAGCTAAGGGTAAAATAACTAATAACAATTAAAAGACAAGGCCCAACAGGAACATTATGATGTCTTATGAATAAAGAATTTTCTATGGCAGTCGTTTTACTTTCATATGTTTGTTTCATGGTATAATTTCCAAGTCTGAGATCACTGTCATGCTAATTTACCTGTATTATCATATATGCCGCATGAACATCTGTACCTTTCTTACTCAAATTGAATATTCATTGTATTTTAAATTTAATTCTAAATCTTGATAAAGTTTTTTATGTTAAAGTTCATTTTATTTATTCAATTTTGACATACAAACATACCAAATATTTGTCTGCATCCATCTTTCTGGCAAACTGTATCTAATTGACTTATTTTTTGGTCCAGTCATGCCATTTTGAGCTATCTTTCCTGTGCATTTCCAGGCATTCCGGACCATTGGTAATTTATAATGTGTCATTTACATTCCTTTTCTCTGTCCATCAATTGTGTGGGTTTATTTTCATACTATATTTTCTCCGACAACCTGATAGTCTCCATGGGGCCTTAGCTTTATGCTGTTGATAGACAACTAATACATCTGTCTGATGACCTAATAGTTTTCTGAGGCTTAACTCATATGTTGTCAGAAACAACTTATATACTACAACCTTCATGTGAAGGTCCTGATAGGTCAATTTTCATAAGTACTTATCTCTACTTTTTAAATGTTATAAATGACCATAAATCATCATTGTCAAGAAAGATAAATAAGCATATGGTACAAAACATTTTTAAGTTGCAATGGCATAACTTGGTTACTATTGGATACTCCAAAATGATTTTTCCTTCACATTTGAGGCAAAGGAATATCCAGTAGTAAAAGAATAATTTATCTATCATATCTCTCCTATTTGTTCATATAATGCTGGCAAAAGTTCAACTGGCTAACATTTAACTGCTCGCTCAAGCTACCTTGCTCTGATAATATTAATAAACAAACAATAGGAACAGGAGGAAAAGTGACTTTTGAAGTTATATCTTTATATTCTGTAGGAAAACAATGGTTATACGTTAAGTGGAGTACTTGATACATTGGAAGCAGACATCTATTTGATTCTTTATTAGTGAAAGATGTACTATTCCTTTTTGTTATGATATTAGACCATCGATGTTAGATAGAAATATCACTTATACTTTGTTTGTGTTCTTTATCATGGCCATCTCAAGATAAGTTTTACCTTGTAACTCGTGTTTTATATGGAAGGTATCCTGCTGATCTCTTCACTAGAGCCAAAATTCAGTCCATATTGGATTGGCACCACACCAACCTACGCCGTGGTGCAGGTATGAAAAAGCTCCATCCTCTCGTTTCTATTTTCTGAATGAAGAACATGGACATATTAATTCTTATAATGCTAGTTTTCCTGAAGACATCCATGAGAAGAGGTTGAATTTATGTTAAAATATATCCAAGAAATTAAAAATAAAGAAATACTTAAGCCAAAGGATGTGTTCACTAACTTAAAGAATCTAAGTTGCTGAGAAACTTGAATTCATGTCTTCAGACACAGTTGTGGTTGTGACATCTGATTCACCAACCATCTGAAGATTAAACTAGTGACAGTTGGGAATAACAATGGAAAAAATGATGAGTTTTAGTTGATTTCATGGCACATATCCCTAGAAATGTTGGAGGGAAGTTCTTAAGAGAAATGAGTTGGAATACGAGCCCTCAGTTTGAGTTTATTGGTTTCATTTAATATAGCAAAGACTTTAAGAATGCTGCCTTCATTTATTGGTTCTTCTCTTCCTTATAAGTTTTATTTCATATAGTAGACAAGGATTCCTAACACCCAGGGTTTGCAATACCGTACGTATTGGTCCACCAGCAAATCGGCACACAAACCGTCTGCTACTGGGCGGTATCAGGCATTTGGCCTCGTGTCGGGCGATATGGGGCTATACCGGACGGTAACGTTCGAAATTTCAATCATTACTAACCTATACCAATTGGTATCGATCGATTTCGATCATTATCGACTTGTATCAGCTGGTACTCATCGATTTCGACCGTTATCACCTTGGGCAAAGGAGCTAGAGGAACCAAAGATTGATCCCATCGACCTCCATTTCCACAAAAGATTCAGAGTCAATGTTAGAGTGGGTCGAAGCGGTAGAGAACCAAAAGGGTCCTTTACTTGATGAGGCGGGAAATCCTCAACGTCCTTTACGTTTTATCACCGAGGCAATAGAAAAAGAGGCTCTAGTAGGAGAAAAATCCCCCTCAGTCAGAACATGATGGAAGGGGCTAGACAATATTTATTTCTAACTTAAAAACCCTATCCTAACTTTTTTTTTTATTTTTTAGGTATTTTCAGAGGGTTTTATGCTTATTTTAGGTATATTGCTCGATATGCCGTATCGTACCATATCGAGCAAAGTTCAGTACACTGGTACGGTACGAGATTAAGAACCTTGCTAACACCATAAACCAATGGGCCTTCTTCGTCTTTTCTTTTTTCCATCACATCATAGTTCATTATATTTATGATTTTCTAGTTTGATGAGACTTGACAGCCCGATTGCTTTTTATTATTTGTAGCAACCTTTGTTCTTAACCGTGCCCTGGGACCTGCACTTGGTCTTCCATTAAACCCACAAGCAGCAAATGAAGCTGAAATAATTCTTAGAGCGTCCCTTTCAAAGATAGAGTCGCTTTGGCTAAAAGGAAATGCAAAATTCTTATTGGGAAATTTCCAGCCATCCATTGCAGATCTCAGCCTTGTCTGTGAGATTATGCAATTGGAGGTATGTCACTTGATGCATATTCATTGTGTTTTATGACTATTACATACAGTTATGGAAAAGAATATACAATTTTATTTAAATCCATGCATTTTCTTATCATATCTTACAAACTACTACAGTATCTGTGGTTTTCAATAATTGTAATTTGCAAAGAGAAAAATAAGCAACTATGAATTAGACTGGATACAATATAGTGGGATAACATGAAGCACATGGATGCAAGATGCTAATCTTTGGAGCTGTCATCCAAATTTTGATACATCATAATAATTTCTGAAGCTATTTAATAGTGCATCCCTTTGCTTCAGGTCGTGGATGAGAAAGATCGCGACAGAATATTGGGGCCTCACCCAATGATTTTGCAATGGATCGAAAATGTAAAATCTGCTACCAGTCCTCATTTTGAGGAAGTCCATGGGATTCTGTACAAAGTCAAGGCAAGGCTACACAGCAGGCTGGCCAACGCAAAACCTAACGATACTCATCTCAGCATGAAACCCAACCCGAAGCTTTAACTTGAGCAAACTGGTGATTTGATGCAGCAGTTTACATTGCAGTGACAGAGCACTAAAACAGTGTTGCTATGTGTGTGTTTATTTTAGATGTTTCCGAAGGATTAAGAACAATCATTGAAGGTGTCTTATACGTGACGCATCATAAAAATAATGATCAAATCCAAGCTGCTGCATATTTCCATATGCTGATTGTGAAAGCTCTGCAGTACTGTGATATATTTATATTCCATGTGAGCCATCCTCTTCGGACCTTTCTGGAGAGGTTTATTTAACAAGTCATACCTATAATATGAAGAATAGACCTTTACATGTTTTCTTTTGATTATCCAAGTACATAGATGTAGAGTCAATTGTATTGCTTTCCTTCCACAAAAAAGGTCACCAGCTTCAGATGTAGAGAAAGAATTTGTTGGATATTTTTTATGTACCTACCAGAGTGAACATTGGTGTCTTGCTAAAGTTGTTCCTTTGAGATTTTGCAAAATTGTGGATTCAGTTTCCAAACTTTTTACATACTGCATTGTGCGATTGGAAAATTTGAATCTATTTGGTGTTATTTACTATTGGGTGACTTTTCTAAAAAGACCCATACTTTTCGTATTTTCAAAAGATATCCTTCTTTTATTTTTTGCCCAAACAATACCCTTAATTTAATAAAAAAAATTAAAATACCTTTAAAAATTTTCATCTATTTCTTTACTAGTTTTCAATTGTTACAGTATTTTTATTTAACTCATGATAGTGTTTTATTGATGTATTATAAATTCTTTAAAAATCATTAAAAAATATTACAATTGATTTCGTATTATGACTCCTTAGTTGCTATTACTCATAGATCATTGCAACATCATATTTTTAAACTTATAATTAATTTAATTAATATTTAAAATCTATTTAGATTATTTACGGTGTTCTTAAGTCGGTTTTACAGTATTTTTATTTACTATGATAACCAAAAATACTATAGATTTTTTTTTTAAGAGTAAGTTGGGTTTTCTTTTAATTAAAGATATTATTTAAAAAATAAAAATAAAAGAATCGATGGGAAAATACTCGAGATATAAATATTTTTATGGAAAATCGCCCATTATGATTTAGAGGTTAATATGTTGCAGCAACAAACTTTTCTGTTGATTAGTTGATTTAAGGCAACGATGTCGATGTAACGTCAATTCGATTGAGCCATTAAAATTTCTTTGGATTTGCTTCCACATGAGGTCATATTTAAGTCTGAGGGTTTGCAATGTTATGATTCGTTCTTGAATGCGAATTGTCGCATTGGGAGAAAATGGATGAGAGTGCGACAAATATGTTTCGACTCGGCGGTGGTGAAGTCGAGCGGAGATAAGCCCCGATTCATTGCTCGGGATGAGTTCAACTACCGATAGGGATTCGATCAACGCAAGCTTACTTGGGAAAAAGACATCTCAACATTGGATCCACGACTTTGTGTAGATCTTGATTCATTGAACTGTAGAAGAGGACGACAGTAATCAAAGTTCTCCCAGCTATGTGCCAAAATTGGCACCAAAAGATCGGTTGTCAAGCTCTGTTTCCACAGTAAGAAGACAAGGAAGACGAAGAACGGAGACCGTCCAAGAACGCGAAAGAGTCCTTTGACAGTTCGATGGTGTTTGATTCAGTTAGTTGGGGAACATTGATTCAACAATAACTGTTGGTTCAATGATTCTTATTATTCGAAAAAGTTTCCTTGCTCAAATTTTTTTCTCTTATAAAGAGGATTTCATACTTGCAATGCACTCATACTGAGGATAGAAGAGGAGAGGAGGAGAGAGATGACGCTGAAGGTGTACGGTCATCGGCTGTCGCAGCCGTCGCGGGCGATTATAATCTTCTGCAAGTAATATTCCCTAACATTTTCGTCTTCGTCTTTCGCTTAGATGTCTCTCGTTTTTATGTTCGGTTTTTTTTTTTGTTTCTTCTGCTTTGATCTACATGACTATCGTGAGGGATTTGGGTTCTTGTTGATGTCAGGGTCAACGGTATTGACTTCGAGGAGGTGACGATTGATTTCACGACGGGCAAGCATCGTTTGCCCGATTTCAAAGGTCCCCACTAGTTAGCTCTCATCCTCTTTGTTCTCGATTTCCTCATGAGTTGCAGGGCGATGGAATCAATCTTTCTTATTGTGTTGTCACAGCTTAGTAACTGAGATCTCGAACCCTCCCTCTTTTTGCAAACATGTCGTCCTGAAGGTGAATCGAGCAAGGTTAAAGAAAATGGAAGTCATCTTTCACAGTAATAGTACACTAAATGAGCATCTGAGAACAATGGACAATTCGGAGGCTCTGCTATCATCAACTCTTTATGTTTTATTTCACAGGAATGACTACTTCATGTGAACTCTTGAGCTTAACAAATCATGCAGAGAATAACTTGTTTCTTTCCTCCTTAATCTGAATGTGCAAGCTTTCCTAGTCTCTGCTGATTTACGAACTAAGCGTAGCTTTCTCAGTATACTCCAATGTTTTCCTTTCTAACTGTACTAATTCAGATATTTTTCCAGAGATAAACCCAATGGCAGAAGTTCCAGCAATTGTTCATGGAGATTTAAAGCTCTTTGAGAGGTAGATATTGTTTCTTTAAGTCTATGCTTAAATATAATTTCTTTATGCACTTCTCCTGTCCTTGCGAAAAAGATTGATCAAAACATAACTCCTTTGATGGTGGTAACTGAGTCATTGTATCACATTTGTCTGAACAGTTTGTCCTCATAGTAAACTGCCCATCTTATAACTTATGCTTCATTTGATAGAAGTAACTCTTCTAGCTTAATTCTCAGGCAATGTCTTGCCAAATCATTTGGAGAACACTATGTTTCAAAATTTTGTTTATCATAGCCTTAACTGCATAAAATAATCAACCAGACCCAAGATTTGCAGTACGTGTTGCTCCTGTTGCTTGATCTATTAACAAAACTTGAATCCCATTGGATCCCATCTACTCATCCATCCTACAACACACTGGTGTTGTAGCTTCTCTGGTAAGTTGTCATACATCAAGATGGTTTCAAAATTCCTTTTTCTGGCACCTTACCATGTATCAGTAGTTCTTTAATTTTTTTGTGCTCTCTGAACTTTGTATATCACTTGTGGAATGACCCTTAGGTAGACATGATTGTTCTTCAAGAAGACATTAAATTTTATGGGCAATTGAAAACACCAGAGTGACTAAGGTGTCCTTGAAAGGAAAAGACAGATAAAAATAAAAACTGCTACTAGAGAAAGGGTTTCTAAATTTTAAACCGACTTGAACAGGCTCTGAATCATATGCAAAATTTAACATGAAATAAATCTGAAATCCCAAAGACCAGGATGAAACAACTATAACAATCAAAACAAAGAGCCTCACATGAACATTATGATGTCTTATATAGATTTATCTGCGACAATGGTTTGACTTTCATGTATTTGTTTCCATTTTATGATTCTGAAGTCCGTGGTAGCAGTCATGCCAGTTTATATGTATATCTCATATATGATTTTCTTATATTCTCAAGTTGAATATTCTTAAATACTCTAAATTCAAATATAAATGATGAGGTGTTTATGTTGAAGTTTATTCTGTATTAAATTGTGATTTTACTCCACAATCCATCCATCCTTTCGCCAACCTTAATCTAATGACTTTTATTTGTTTGTCCAGTCATGCTATTTTGTGCTATCTTGCTAGTGCATTTCCAGGAGTTCCGGACGGCTGGTAATTTATAATATGTCGTTTGCATTATTTCCTTCGTCTATCAATATGTGTATGTGTGTTTGGTTTGTTTTTTCATAAAATATTTTCTCTTGCAACCTGATAATGTTAGTGGAGGCTTAGCTTGTATTACGTTGATAAACATCTATTGCATTTCTCTGACATCTAAATAGTATTCCTTGAGGCTTTACTCAAATTTTATTGAGAAGCAACTAATACTACTAATCTTCAAGTGTAGATCATGATAGGTAAAGTTTTGTAACTACCTATCTGCCCTTTTGAATGATATGAAAGACCAGGGATCGTCATAGTAAAATGAGTTGAACAATCATATGGTAACAAACCATTTTAAGTTGCAAAGTATAGCTTGGTACATTAGCTACTTTAAAATTATTTCTTTTCCTTCCTGTTTGAGGCAAAGGAATATCCAGAATAGAAAAAAGAATTTACCTATCTATCTCTCAAAATTGTGCATATAAAATAATTTATGGTGATAAAAAAATGTTACAAACTGGATGATATTTATTGCCCTCTCAAGCTACTGTCCTCTCGTGTTACCAATAAATGAGGTAGAAGGAGCAGGGAAAAGGTGACCTTTGAAGTTCTATTTTTTATATTTGTGTAGAAAAACCATGATTGATATGTTACAGTGGACTTCTTGATTCATTAAAAGTGGACTTCTGTTCGATTTTTTATAAGTGAAAGTTGTATTCCTTTTTGTGATGGAAATTAGACCAGGGATTTCCGGTGACTTTTGTCAGTGCTACTATTGTTTGTGTTCGATATCCTAGTCATCTCAAGATACATTTTACCTTACGTTTCCTATCTTTTGTGGAAGGTATCCTGCTGATATCATCTCAAGAGCAAAAATACAGTCCATTTTGGATTGGCACCATTCCAACCTACGCCGTGGTGCATGTACGAGAAACCCCAGCATCCAATTTTTGTTCTGAATGTAGACAGTGAACATGATTTTTCTTATCATGCTAGTTCTTCTGAAGGCATCCATAAAAAGAGTTTGGATTCACGTTGTATCATACACAAGAAGTCAACAATAACAAAATATTTAAGCAAAGGATGATATCACTAACTTCATAGAAATTTGAAGTTGCTGAACTTAAATTCATGTCTTCAGACAGTTGTGATTGTGAGCTGTGTGATCCACCAACCATCTGAAGATTAAACTAGTGACAGTTGTGTGGAATTGTGGATACTGTCGATAAGACAAGTTCTAGTCCATTTTATGATCCACATCGTGAGAAATGCAGTAGTTAGAGCCATGAGATGAATATGACCTAGTTTGAGCTTATTGGTTCAATATAGAATTGCAAAGACTTCAGAATGCTGCCTTTACATTGTTTGCGCATTGCCGCCTAAATTTTTTGTTTTTTATTTTTATTTTTAACTTTCGTCTTAGTGGACAAGGATTATTAGAAGCAGAGGCCATTGGGATCTTCATCTTTCCTTTCCCTCATCACACCACATCACCTTCATTCATGGGATGGTCTGACAAGATTTGATGGCCCTGATGATCTATATCATGTTTTGCAGTGAACTACTGTATCAACAGTGCACTGGGACCTGTACGCAGTCTTCCATTAAATCCACAAGCAGCAATTGAAGATGAGAAAATTTTAAGTGCGTCCCTTTCAAAGTTAGAGACTGTATGGCTTAAAGGAGATGCAAAATTTTTACTGGGAAACCTCCAGCCATCTGTTGCGGATCTCAGTCTTGCCTGTGAGATTATGCAACTTGAGGTATGTTATTCGATGCAAACTGTACATTAGTATGATACCAGATCTATTAAGTTATGTTCTTGTAGTTCAGTATTGCATCAATAAGGAGAAAAAAAAGATGGGTTTGCATGCAATTCATTAGTTTGGTATTATCAACTCTGTAATCAATGTGCTGCCTACGAAACAGAGCAATGAATAGAAATTCGAAGTGCAAAAACCACTTCAAATATGGCTTAACCTGATTATTTCTGTTTTCTTTAAACATGACTCAGCCTGACTACATTCATTTTCAGTGAGTTCTTCTTTCAGTCTTTGCAGTGCAATTCGTGAGCTTTTATTTAGATATTTTTTTTATTGATAGATGGAATTTTTTTTTATGAAACTCTATTACCGAAGACAAGTAGGTCATATGTTAAAGTTTTTATAGGATCCAGAATCCAAATTATTAGTGAAGGAATATCTCTGACAAAGATGCAGCAGCAATTTGTGGTCCTCAGCCTACAACGTCTTTATTAGTTTAGAGAGGGAAGATGAGTCTCAGTTGATGAAGCTTTTTTCACTGCATATTATGCTAGACAAGATAAAGATAATGAATGACCCACCAGAAAAGCATACTAAGTAGGATCAGTAAAGATATTGTTGAGCTGTGGACTGAAATCTGATGTGTCGCCATCAAAGAATGAGCAAAGTTGGAAAGCATGCAATTTAGCTGTTTACATGAGAAATGTGCCCTCGGAATGAGTGCGCATTTTTTGGACTCGCAAGGTAACCAAGAGGACCAATTTCAGCTTCGTAAGTTGAAGCATGCTAATTAAATAATCTAACACCTATGTATGAATGGTATCAAGAGAGCAATCTGCTTTCTGGAGCTCGACAGGAGTACAAGTAATAAAGTTAGTGGTATAACAGGAAGCAATAATCTTTGGAGGTGTCAGCAAAATGTTGATACATCGTACTAAGTTCTGTAGATGTTTAATAGTAGTCCTCTTTATTAATCATCTTGTGCATCCTTTTGCTTCAGGTTGTGGATGAGAAAGATCGCGAGAGAATATTGGGGCCTCACCCGAAGATATTGGAATGGATCGACAATGTAAAGTCTGCTACCAGTCCTCATTTTGAGGAAGTCCATGAGCATCTGCAGGAAGTCAAGGCAAGAATAGCATTATTGAAGTCAGCCTGAAATCCAACCGGAAACCTTTAATCCGATAGAACAGGTGATCTGATGCAGCAGTTTATATGTAGTAGCTTGCAGTGATTGTAATATAGCACTGAAATAATGTGCCCTGTGTGCGTGTTTATTTTGGGTCTTTGTGGTGTATTAAGAACAGTTCTTGAAGTTTTCCTATGTGTCAAACCTTCTAAATTAATGATTAAAACAACTATTGTATTTGCATCTTCTATTAAAAATATTTATGTGCATAAGATAATAAGAGATGGACTGAGAGGTTGATCTAAATTTGAAAAACTCAGTTTTTATCTACTAGGTTATGAGAGTTGGAAGTATTTGGTTGAAATTTTATCCAACATATTTTAACATCTAAACATAGGTTTGATGGTGTAATCAAAATTTATCTTTGTCCCTTATCCTTTTAAAAATATATATGATATGGTAGACTAAACGCATATTTTTAATTGGTGCACTCAATTTTATTTGTTGATCTCGAAACACGCACGTCGAGTAACAAAGAAAAAATTGGTAGAAAGATCACTTAGTTTTTCTACAAAGTATCAAGATGGTCAAAACACGAGTTTTCAGATTGGCGTCAGAGTGATATAAATATAAAATACTTTATTGACAGTGATGGATATGTTGGATAGAATATTTGAAAGAGTGCATGACGAAAAAGCAGGTGAGATTTTTTTTTCCCTCAAAATTGATTCAAAATAATATTATTTCTTATTTTGTATTAATTTAATCAATTTTCACTATTATTCGACACGTTTAACATAAAGTATAACAAAAATTAATGTAAACACAACATTAAATATGAAAATATTTGTGTAGTGAGTTCATCTTGATAATAGAAAATAAAATTAATAATAATCATAACCATTTCTTTTAGAAATGGTTGGTTTCGCAGTGATGCCCAAAAACCTTTGGTCAGTCAAACACATGAACAGTTAAGCAACCCAAAGAGAGTCAAACATCAATCCACATTGTATGTACTGTAGTTCTTTAAATGAAGCATTTAATCAGAAGCAGCTTCTTTAAGCTCCGCGCATCATTCAGATCAAACGTCCATATCATTCATCGCCTTGGGAGTCAAAAATGTCACAAACAAAAGCATAGCGTGACATATGGTGATGATTTTAAAAGCAATAATTAATTACGACATAAATCCAAAACGAAATATCTACTCGCTGGATCGAAGAGAGAGAGAGAGAGACTTGTTACCTATAAATGTTGTGCCGTGAGACACGAGTGAGGGTCGGTAGGTGCGACGACGCTTTCGTTGCAGCGTGGACCCAACCAAGGAATCGGCACACATCCATCCAACTCGATCCGCCACTAAATTGGACCCATCCATCTTGTCACGTATCTAAAGGGAACCAAAAAATGTGTCACCACAGGATCCCCATCGGCGAAAGGACGACGACTTGGGTGGCCGCCCAGCTGGTCAACGCATTGGCTCTCCCAAATTGCCTTACCCGAACCAACGGAGTTAATATTCCACCACTCCCGTTTGTGATCGTATTTTTGATGTTATGTATTTATCGTATTTTTGCTGATTGATTGTGCATATATATTTGCTGATTGTATTTATTTAATTTATTTATTCCTCAAATATTATTTAAAATACTAGTCTGATGATTGATTGATTGATTATATATCAAATTTCTCTACAAAAGATAATATTAATGACAGGAAAGGAAAGGTTGAGGTCTTCCTAGACCACCTCACGTACTTCCTATGGAAAAATGAAATAGCACAAGATAATAATATATTAAAAAAAACATTGAAATGGTCAAATCTTTGGATCATCAATCTTCTCTGTGGTTTGGTTTGCAGTACCAGAGTTTTATCATCATCGAAACTTTGTGACGTATCCGTTCGATGCAGACCAGTATACGTGCGTTTTGCGAGTGGACGGCAAATTTAATCGTTATTTTTCGTCAACAACCTCAAATGTTAGCTATATATTTGATATATATATATATTTATTTATTTGTATAAGAGTGTTCTGTGCGTAATTTAAGACAACATTTATGATAGGTGATTAATTTTTTTATTACGTATGAATGTAATCATCACAAGTGTTCGCTAAGACTCTCGGCGGATGAAAGAGAAGGAGGGAGGAAAGAAAGAAAGATTGAGAGGGATGTGTTTGTCGTTGCGATGGCGAAAGCAACGATTCCCCGTCATCCTATTTCCAGGCTGCACCCCCATCTCCTTCCAAGAAGCCAACCCAACCCCCCTCTTCATCTCCTCTCGGAGGGCTGCGGTCGACTCGAGAACTCGAAGCTTTAGGAGGAGAGGCGTGGAGCAGTTTTGGCTCCGCTGGTGAACCCTTCTCTTCCTTTCGACTGCTTTTTCTTCTTCTGAATCCAGTCTTGCTCTGCTTGCTTTCTTTTGTTTCTTTGTTTTCTCCTGATTTGAAATTTGTTTATTTAGAGAGGCCATTCATGGAATTAACCAAATGGATTAGAAGCTTACTTCTCATGCTTAATTTCCCATCTGTTGGAAAGCGGTGCTGGATTCCAATGGAGGAGTTATATGTAAATCCAGATGGCGGTGGACTTCGTTCTGGATTAGGTTTACCTTTTTATATCTTACATATTTGTGTCTCTGGAGATCGCATATTCTACTTCCATGAATCAATACTGATGGAAGGAGACACAGAAAATGATTGAGCGTGCAAATCGTGATGAGCAGTTGAAAGATAGTCAATTTAGAGGAAATGATTGAGATGGGCAGTTGAAAGATGCAAACACCGGTGACCAAAGACTTACTTTTCTAACCTTATTAATTCCGATATAGTGAACAATTTCGACCTCCTCGGTGCTTGTCGAACACCAATTTTGTTCCGAGTTATCTTCTTCTGGTTGGTTTAGGTTCTGGACCGAAGATTTATCTTTCCGGTGCCCCTGTGTTCCCTTGCTGCACCAACATATGGTAGAGGATGACTAGAGTAACCAGGTTGGATAAATTAGATGATACCAGTTTGGTAAGATGCTGATTGAAAAGAAATAAAAAATAATAATAATAAATAATTTGTGTGTTCTTAGTTCTGGACATTTGTGATTGCTGGAATCAAGCTGAGCTGTAAGGAAGAAAGACTTTCTGTTTTAAAAGTACTTAGCCAGGAAAACCTAACCTAAAATATCAATTATGTGGGTACATTCCATGCTGATAAGTGACCGTATAGCATGAGGAGATTAGGACTCGTACAATTCCATTGTAGTATGGAGCAATTACATGATGATGGCGGCACTTCACCATCTCCATGAAGTTATGTCAAGATTTTAGGTAAGAATAAATTAGGTTTCTTTCTTAACTGAAAAGTAGACAAGATCTCAAGGATGTTCTGTTCTTCTCTGACATCTAATTGCAAGAAATTGGCTGCGATTTCAGCACCGCAGTTTGAGAATTTTAGAGAGGATAAGAAGAATGATTTGAGTTACAATAACCTGTGTGGTTCTAGTCCTGAGGTTTTCATTCATTTTGTGGACTTCTGTTCTCGATTTGGTGCTGTTAGCAGGGTTTATGATGCTATCTCATTTCTTACTTCTTTTTCTTCTTCCTTCGGAAGGAACAGAGTCTGTCATATGGTACCAGTGAATCATATGAAGCTGGTGGAAAATTCCAGTCTTTCAGATTCTTATTGCTTTTCTAATTGGTCTTGTACATCATAGGAATGTATTTGGAAGACATTTTTTCAGCTCATTTGCTGATCACAGTTACCCAAACCTTGTTGGATCCAAAATAACCTTTCAAGTCATATAGAAGGAATATGAGACACAGAGTATCCGAGTAATGTTTGTTATCGAATCTATACTAACCACATTATGCAAACTGTTTAAACCGGAATAAATCCAGTTGAATGAGGTAGTCATTTAACTAATTTCCTTTGCAATTTGATGTGTACTTTGGAATTCCATTTTTTTTATGTTTAAATGAAGAATCATTCGGTACACATCGACGTACAGTTATGTTAGTTTAGTACTACAGTTTTATTGCCTAAGGGAAACTGCAACTTCATAATAAACACGTTCTAGTGCTAAATTACACATAATTAAAGATGATGGACTGTAAAATTTTCATCATACATTAGTAGCAGAATCATTATGATAAGGACTTCAAATGAGTGACTTTGTTATAAGCTTGATTTTGACATCACAAATTCATGGTTTAGTTGCTTCTATCACTTCTCTTCGTTTCTCATGCTTAGCATTAGTAGTGGGTATATCATAAATGTGAATCTTGAAACATGTTAAAGCTTCTGATGGCATCCTTAGGAAACAACACCATGTTTTATATCCGAAAGGTTGTTGTTGGTCAAATTTCTAAAACGTCTTGATGGTAGCTAAATGTGTGTACGAGTTTTATTATTTACAGATTAATTAAGATAATCTCTGTGTTCAAAAAGCCTCATACATTGGAGACTCATGAGCTCCTCGGATTCTCAAGTATTGACCTCCTCTCCGTACCTTTTGTAACCGAGACACAACCATTGTATTGATTTTAAATAACTGGTCTATTTTATGTTGCCAATCTTCACCTTTGAGGATATTGATATGCCCACAATTCCCAGCTTAACATTATCACTGTGGATAAAGGCATTTGCCACAGTTTGGTTTCAGCATCAACTTGTGCACTGTCTTGACACAACCTGGTTTTGCTTCAGTTTTTCCTTTGCTACTCTGCATTCTTTTACGAAGTCTCTTAATTATTGGAATACTAGTATGTCCGTGAGAACCAAGATATGTAACTCTGCTTTTATCCAGTTTACTTAGAATGCTTTAATGCATATAAATCAAGAAAACCCAAAGCAAACAACCAAGCTCCAGACCTCGACTGTCCTAAGTAGAAATCTGTGAGAATTTTGGCTCTGAATACTTTGTTCAACCACTGGTAAGGCAGAGCTTCTGCACTGAACAACTGCAGAAAGGTAGCTTTTGCACCCACGAGAGATTGAAAACACTAATCATGACTGTTTGGTTACCTTTGCACTACCCGAAGGCTTCATTGCTTGCTCAATAAGAAAAAAATATGAATTCATCCCGGTTTCTGCTGAACCTTGGATTACTCTGCAAGTTGAGGTGACTCCGTTGTTTGATCTTTCAGTTTAAATTCTATCAGTGCTCCTCTCTTCTGAACTGGCCTTGTGGGTGGACATTGTATATGGTTTATCTCTTTATACGGTTTCTACATGCAACATGGACTTTCTCTTCACCATTTGTTATTAGAGCCATTCTTGTACTTGTACATGAGCAGTTCACAAATTGCTTGCCTTTACCACGCAGGTTTTGGCCTCGGTAGTTGATCGGTTCTGATCCCTCATCTCCCTCCACCAACTACAGAGTCATCAACATGAGCAATCTTAAACTGGGGGTTGAAGTCCTCAGTGCTCATGACCTCATCAGCAAGGATGGTCAAGGCTCTGTCAGTCCTTATGTCGAACTCCGTTTTGATGGCCAAAAATTCCGAACCACCATCAAGGAGAAGGACGTTAACCCCGTTTGGAATGAGAGCTTCTACTTCAACGTCTCTGATCCGTCCACCCTCTCTGACTGCCCCCTCGAAGCTCACGTCTACCACTTTAACAGGGCGACCAACTCCGGGTCCTTCATCGGGAAGGTGCGGCTTGCAGGAACCTCCTTCGTCCCCTACTCCGACGCGGTGGACTTGCACTATCCGTTGGAGAAGCGTGGGATCTTCTCACGCGTTAAAGGAGAACTCGGCCTCAAGGTGTTCCTCACCGATGACCCTTCCATAAGGTCTTCCGTTCCTCAGCCAGCTTTCGATCCAATCCTTGGCAGCCCTGCTTCAAGCCATGCGCAGCAACCTCAGGCTGAGGTCACCGGTTCGAGCCTGAACCCGTTCCAGGAGAGCAGACCCGAGCCACTTCGGACCTTCCACCACCTTGCTAGAGAGCAGCAGCAGCAGCCGCCGCAGCCGTACTACTCTGCAGCAGGTCAAGCGGTCGATCAGTCGGTGAGGTACGCGACGGACGAGATGAAATCCGAGCCGCCTCGAGTCGTGAGGATGTTCTCGTCGTCGTCCTCTCAGCAGCCGGTGGACTTCCAGCTCAAAGAAACTAGCCCTTCCCTGGGCGGCGGACGGATCATCGGTGGCCGGATGATACCCGGGGACAAGGCGGGCGCCTTCGACCTGGTGGAGAAGATGGAGTACCTCTTCGTGCGGGTGGTGAAGGCGCGTGAGCTGCCGGCCAAGGACATCACGGGGAGCCTCGACCCGTTCGTGGAGGTGAGACTTGGCAATTACAAGGGAACCACGAGGCATTTTGAGAAGAACCAGAGCCCGGAGTGGAACCAAGTGTTCGCGTTCGCCAGGGAACGAGTGCAAGCTTCGTTCATGGAGGTGGTGCTCAAGGACAAGGACCTCGTCAAGGATGACTTCGTGGGGCTCGTGCGCTTCGATCTGAACGAGGTCCCTTCGCGAGTCCCCCCCGACAGCCCGCTAGCTCCCGAGTGGTACCGGCTCGAGGACAAGAAGGGGGAGAAGATTAAAGGCGAGCTGATGCTGGCTGTGTGGTATGGAACCCAAGCTGATGAGTCCTTCGCCTACGCCACGCACTCCGACGCCGTTCCCGCTGTTGACGCCCACACCTTGAGCAACTACATACGCGCAAAGGTGTACCATGCGCCGAGGCTATGGTACGTCCGAGTCAACGTCATTGAGGCCCACGACATCTTTGTTTCCGACAAGAAAAGGTTCCCGGACGTGCTCTGCAAAGCTCGGATCGGAGGCCAGCTGATGAAGACGAAGGCGATCCAGTCCCGGACGCCCAACTTCCTGTGGAACGAAGAGTTCATGTTCGTGGCGGCAGAGCCTTTCGAGGAGGACCTGATCCTGTCCGTGGAAGATCGCGTCGCGCACAACAAAGACGAGGAGATCGGCCGCGTTCACGTACCTTTGGCCGCCGTGGAAAAGCGCGCCGATGACCGGATCATCCGATCCAAGTGGTGGAACCTGAAGAGGCCGGTGGCGGTGGACGTGGACCAGCTGAAGGAGGACAAGTTCTCCAGCAAGATCCACGTCCGCATCTGCCTCGACGGAGGATATCATGTGCTCGACGAGTCCACCCAGTACAGCAGCGACCTGCGGCCCACGGCGAAGCAGCTGTGGAAGCCTCCGATCGGGCTGCTCGAGCTCGGCGTCCTGAACGCGACCGGTCTCCACCCCATGAAGACGAGGGAAGGGAAGGGCACCTGCGACTCCTACTGCGTCGCCAAGTATGGCCACAAGTGGGTGAGAACTCGCACTATCGTCGACAACATGAGTCCGAGGTTCAATGAGCAGTACACCTGGGACGTTTACGACCACGCCACCGTCCTCACCGTCGGCGTCTTCGACAATTGCCAGCTTAGCGAGAAAGATTCCAGCACCGGCGGCAACAAGGACGTGAAGATTGGGAAGGTCAGAATCCGTCTCTCCACGCTGGAAACCGGGCGCATCTACACCAACACCTACCCGCTGCTGGTGCTCCACAACTCGGGCGTCAAGAAGATGGGCGAGCTCCACCTTGCGATTCGGTTCTCGGTGACGTCGATGGTCAACAGCATGTACATCTACTCGAAACCGCTCCTGCCCAAGATGCACTACATCCGCCCGTTGCCCATAATCCAGCAAGAGATGCTCCGCCACCAAGCTGTGCAGATCGTGGCCGCTCGGCTGAGCCGAATGGAGCCACCGCTGCGGAAGGAGGTCGTGGAGTACATGTCAGACGCGCATTCTCACCTGTGGAGCATGCGCAGAAGCAAGGCGAACTTCTTCCGGCTCATGTCCGTCTTCTCGGGCCTGTTCGCGGTGGCGAAATGGTTCGGCGATGTGTGCTCGTGGAAGAACCCTGTCACCACCATTTTGGTGCACATCCTGTTCATCATGCTCGTCTGCTTCCCTGAGCTGATACTTCCGACCATCTTCCTCTACATGTTTCTTATAGGTGTCTGGAATTACCGGTTCCGCCCCCGCTACCCACCGCACATGAACACCAAGATCTCTTCCGTGGAGGCAGTGGATCCGGATGAGCTGGACGAGGAGTTCGACACCTACCCAACCTCTCGGAACCCGGAGATCGTGAGGATGAGGTATGATCGGCTGAGGAGTGTGGCCGGGAGGATACAGACGGTGGTGGGCGACATCGCGACTCAGGGTGAGAGACTGCATTTGCTGCTAACATGGAGGGATCCCCGGGCCACGGCGATGTTCCTGGTCTTCTGCCTGTGTGCAGCGATGGTGCTGTACGTGACGCCGTTGCAAGTGGTGGCAGCTGCCGCGGGGTTCTACTTGATGAGGCATCCAAGGTTCAGGCACAAGTTGCCATCTGTGCCCGTCAACTTCTTCCGTCGATTGCCGGCGAGGACGGACAGCTTGCTCTAGAGCAGGAGCAGCATCGATTCGGATGGCCTCTCCGGTGGAGTTGGTTGCTTGTCATGGTCTTCGAAGCTGTTCTTCCTTGGTGCTTTATGCGTAGGAGTATCTGTTGCTGTAGCTGGTTATCTTTTGCCTTGATCTTTGGTGGTGTTTATGTAGAGATGGCGAGGGGAGAGACACCGTAAGCTTGTATTATCCATCAGGTTGTACTACTTGCAACAGATGGGAGTCATGTTCTGATCCTCATCTTGTTTGAGAATTGCAAGTTATTTTGTCTTGTATATATGCCTTTTGATCGACAGTGTTACCACTTTACTCTCTCAGGTTCTCATGAGAGACTCCAAATTTGCTCCTGCTGGCAACAAAATGGCGAATTGGATTGTCACCCACCACAACTTCACACTAGAATGTTCCAAGAAGGAAGCTTTCACATTAAACTATGGTTCATATTCTAAATGAATATATAAAATGGTATTTCAAATATAGTTATATAATATAAATTTATTTTAAAATAATTTCTCAAAAAAACCTTTAGTTTTGATAAATTTACAATCTTACATCTAAAAATTCTTGTAAAGCATTTATTTTTGCGTGAAAAAATCATTTTACCTTATTTTTATTAGACCCTTCATCACCTTAACTAGTTTTCGTCGTTCTAATTCTTCTCTCTTTCGTCTTGTTCGATTTGTCTTCTTCGTTCTTGTTTACGACATAGACAATCAATCAACGATGAAAACATAAAAAAAATTATGAATAAAAAAACAAAGAATTATAGTTGTGAAGAAATAAGTATATTCGAGGGAATAAAGGAGAGGAGAGGTAGGGCAAGCACTCGGGTGATTTCGACGAGTACTCACGGAGACAAAAGTGAGTCCGATGACGATTAACGATGCTAAGCAAAGACAACAAGGAGTAATATTTTTAATTTAAAAAAATAAAAATTAGGACGCTAGTAAAAATAAAAAAAAAACTTTTTTCCGGGAATTCGATCGTTAAATTTTACTCACATCGTGTGAACGAGCAAAGGCGGTCATTGACGACGAGCGGAGTCGGTCATTGACTGCGGCATCTCACAACGTGGGCGTGTTCATATTTACGTGGAAGGCGTAGAAGCTCACATGGGTTCTGCTGTTGTTTGATGCTCCTTCGTCATCGTTGGCATAAATAAAACCCAACGAGCTCTCCTTCATTTACATCAATCTACCGACCCTATTCCTCCGCCTCTGCTTGATTTCTCCTCCATCGCAGCCTGTGCGACCTCGATAGATCTCAGGGTTCGCGTCTGATATGGCTTCCTCCAAGGCCACCGCATCCATCCATGACTTCACCGTCAAGGTTTGTCTACGAAAACTTCTCTTCTTCTCAGCATCATTTGCCCGCTTCCTTTTTCCTTGTGTGTTTTAGCGATGGTTCCTTTTTAAAGATCAATCTTTTTGTATCGAGTGTGTTATTTGGAGGACTTTTCGAAAAATGGGATTTTGACAACAAATTACTTGTTTATTTTGTTCGTTTTGTTTTGATCTGTCGACTGGAGTCGACAATGACGCGTAATTTTAATGTCCTACTCCTGTAGTTATGGATTTTTGGTGCTTCGGTCTTGTTTTCTCAGGGAATGTTGGTGCTTGTACGAATTTGTTGTGTGCGATTGGGTTAGGGTTCCAGGGATGGGTCATTGGTCGATTCTTGAAACACTTGTGATCTTTTTTTATGGTAAGCAACTTGTGATAGTTTTTTATGGTCGCGTAATTTGGAAACCTTATGAGAATCTTTATTCTTATTGTGAATAATTTTGTGAACCAGAGGAAGTGTATTTTCTTGCATCAATCTTGAATGAATCCTTTTGCTTTGTGTCAAGTTGTGGAATTCATTCTGTTTTTACTCATTAGCGCCTAGATAGGACGAGTGTCATGGTGTTGAATCTACTGATATGTTAATGTTTCGAGTTGTAACTTCTAGGAACTCTTGTTCTTTGTGGAAAGAAGTTTTTTTTCTCTTGGTTTTTGTGGTTATGTAATCTGAGGTAGACAATGTGTTGTATCACTTCCATTGCAGGATGCCAGGGGAAATGATGTGGATCTTGGCACTTACAAGGGGAAAGCATTGCTGATTGTCAACGTTGCATCACAATGGTATTGTAGTTCTATTTAGATTGCTTTTTGTCTTTAAGTAACAGATTAGTTGAAATATATCTTAGAAGGTCAGATTAGTTTCTTGTAATTGAGGGTTTAAATGTTTTCGTACTTTTGCTGCCTCTGTTTATTATCTAAAATAAATCTGTTACTTATATTTGTGGTAGTGGGTTGACTAATTCGAACTACACTGAGCTGAGTCAACTGTACGAGAAGTACAAGAACAATGGTATGTGCTTCTCACCTTGGCTGGCAAAATTTTCCCCATCAAGACAAGTAGCTGTTATCTACTATATACTTTTGGTTTACCATTGGCTTTCATTAGGTTGCTGTAAGGGTAGGATATTTGTTAAATATTATGCATCAACTTGGACACCGTTATGGTATCAACTGAAATGCCATCACAAACTAATTGATCTTGCACAAAGTATTACTTTTGCCATAAAGTTTCATCTCATAAAAAAAAAGGAAGAGTCAAATATCAAACATAAGAAAACAACAAATGAACTGATATTTATAGAGAACTAGTTTTCCTTTCTTGTTGTTACACAAACTGTTAGTTTGATGATGAAGAAACGTTTCTTTCATTAATCAGTGTCTATTAATGGATCACGGATTTTAGTGTGTGAAATTGTTTTAGGCTGATTGGTTGTACCATAATCCATGTTCTTGAACAATTTGCTGCTAACACATGATAGAACAGGCATTGAGACTGAAAATTAATGTTATTATATGCTACTAACTGAGAATCAAGCTGATCCTAGCCTTTCATAAAATTCTGCATCTTATGAAGTTCTTTATAAACTTAGCTTTCTGAATGTCATTTAAAATTTGTAAACCTTGAGACCACGAAAGGTCTCTACAATACATCTACATCATTTTGTAGCTATGAGATTGAGATGTCTTGTTGATTTGGTTGGGCAACCTTTTGTTTCTCATTCAAGTTTTGTTCTATGAGGCTTTTCAGTTACTAAATCTTACATCACGTAAATCCAAAGGGAGGCACTTAAAGTTACCTTTTGCATCAAAAAATAACATTGCTTGATACTAAGATGCTTTAGTTAAATTTTGCATTCAGGACCAAGGTAACTGCACGCATAATTGTACAGGAGAGAAAAGCATATGAAAGAAAACTTGAGGGGCCTAGATTATTTGGTTATATGCTCGGAACTTTCAAATATTAACATATTCATTCAACAAGAACATCGTTGTAACGTCCTAACTATTTAGGGTTGGCAAATATTAACATATCCATGGTATGGTATCTACTGTTAGAAGTAAGAGTATCAACGATCATGCTCTCACACAATCAAGTTTCATTCTGCCTGAATTTATTTCTTTACCTTGCTTTCATGATGCAGATTTTGAGATTCTGGCATTTCCATGCAATCAATTTGCGGGACAAGAACCAGGAAACAATGAAGAGATTGTTGAGTTTGCTTGCACTCGATTCAAAGCTGAATACCCGATATTTGATAAGGTTAGTTGTAGCATGGATTTCAATTTCTTAGTTACTAGGCTCATCCCTTTTAGAATTTTTTAGAGAGAGGTGCTTCTTAGCTAGACCATTCTTGAGCTAGTTTTTTCTTCTATGGTTGTTTTCTTTTTTCTTATTGCATTTAAGAAATAATGGTTAGGTAGCTTGACTGCTTGAACATATAGCATGGATTTTTTAGTTGTATGCCCGAGATGGTAAACATCGCTGTTTGGGTTTTCCAGCCTGGATATTAAAGTTAGTTGTCCGCTTTAGGTTGATGTGAATGGTTCAAACGCTGCACCCTTGTACAAGTTCTTGAAGTCCAGCAAAGGTGGCCTTTTTGGGGATGGCATCAAGTGGAACTTCACCAAGTTCTTGGTGGACAAGGATGGGCACGTGATTGATCGCTATGCCCCAACCACATCCCCGCTTAGCATTGAGGTAGATGAACCCAAAGCTGCCACACCTCATCCGGAATGTTCTTGTGAAATCATGTTCAATGTTCTTGACAATGCAGATAATGCCATCTGACATTTTATTTTGGATCCCTTTGCAGAAGGATATCAAAAAGGTTTTGGGGATTGCCTAAATTTCACATGCTTGTGAATTCGGCACCAAATAAATGATGGTATGAATAATGTGCTGCTCTATGCAAGATTCTGGTTGCATGAAGGATCTTACCAATTGCACAAGAGACTATTATATCAGGTTCATTTGGTTGACAGCTTTATCTTGGTATATTGGCAGATGTATTCATTATAAAGATAAGAGATTTCTCATATAAATCCTCTGTAGGTTTTTATGACTCTTACATTTATCCTATGGATCTTTTGGTCATAATATTGCTCTTATCTGGTCACAGTGTATTTGAGGAAAGTCCTTGGTTGAGTTACAGATTCATATACTCATGTAGGTCCTTAATAACATGTTCCATTAGCTTAATCGGGTGACTGTATTCTCAGTTTTCTTCAAACTATATATTTATATTAGCATTTATATTCAGGTAAGATGGTAAAACAAAGAAAAAGAGAGGTAGCTTTAGCTTCATTTGTTTCGGATGAGACAGGGAAGAGGATTTGTTTTTGTTTCTTCCATTGCTCTTGTGTGACTTATCTCACTAAAATTGTGAGAAAATACAAAGACAGATGAGCCTGATCATCTCTACAAGAGACATTTGGGATTGTATCTGAAATGAGTGTTGAACATGATAAACTCTGAAATTTTTGACATGGCCAATTTGGGATTGCTCTCTCTAAATCCGCTGGTCCATGGTGTGACTAATTATGTAAAATTTATATCTACTCATCACTCTTAATTTTGAAGATTAGATCTCAATGATAGACTATTTAGATATAAAAAATAAATTCAATGAAAGGAAGTTCATATCTAAAATATATTGATCATGCCATTATAGAGGTAAGGCTTGTTGGGAGTTACATCCTAAGACCTAAGACGAAGAAAATAAAATTATTTAAGATTAATAAATAAATAATAAAAATGAGATAATTTGAGATTATTTATCTTGTGCAATTATTAAATATTTGTTTTGGGCTAATGGAAATACTTCAAACTAGCACTAAAATTATTTAAGATAGCACTAAAAGGAGCGGATGTAAATTTAAATCAATAATATTTGTATACTTTTTTTATCTATTTAAAGATTTTTGAGTTTTATTATATTTTATCACTCAAGTT